GTTCCTGTGTGTGTTTCTGTGTGTGTGTGTTTCTGTGTGTGTGTGTGTGTGTTCCTGTGTGTGTTCCTGTGTGTGTGTTCCTGTGTGTGTGTTTCTGTGTGTGTGTGTTCCTGTGTGTGTGTTTCTGTGTGTGTGTGTTCCTGTGTGTGTGTTCCTGTGTGTGTGTTCCTGTGTGTTAGAAGGTGGTTTCACCCTCTTGCCTCATCCCGTCTCCGCTCTCTTTGAAGTCGACCTGACAATCCTCTGGTTGGGAACTTGAACAGAACTTGAACTTGGGAACTTGAACTTGCACGCTGAACATCAAAGCTCTGTGAAAGTTCTGCCCGGTCCAGAACGAGCTGGACTCAAACATTAAACAACAGATTTAAGGACGTGCACGACCGTTAAGGTTCGTGGGTACCTGCAGCCCTCAGGTTCAGACGTTCAGGCCGATTCTTTGCTCTTCCAGCTGAGCCAGCTGTTTATTAGATTAACAAGCTCTTTAACAAACCCGTCCAGGAGCGAAGAACCCGGTCCGGTCCGGTGCGGTCCTGCATGCTGTGAGGACAGCTTGTTGGTGTGTGGCTGCATGAAGAAGTCAAAAAGAAAAATAAATTAACTCACCACATCAAAATCCCAGATGGCCGCCACCATCATGTAACATGTCAAGCAGCCGCCCCAGTCATTTGATGAAACTGCTTTCTAGTTTTTATATTACAAGTTTCCTCAAACGACTGGGGTGGCTGAAGATTAATCTGTGGGGGCCAAGGCCACCATTGGCCCCCCTGGCTCCTCCTCTGCTCCTGGTGGAGGATAAGATGGTTCCCTCTCCTCCAGGATCTGCGTCTGTGCCGCCTCAGACCAGAAACATAAAAACCTCCCTCTGTCCTCCACAGAGAAACTCCTAAAAACACGAGCATCTAAAAACATTTAGGTTTCCTTCGTTCTCCGTTCACCTCCAGTCCAGAAAACACTACAAACATTCACCGTTCACACTCTTCAGACGGGACGTCGGCGTGCTGCTTGTTCTGCACCTGAAGTCCTCTCTGGTCTGACGTGTGATGTCACAGCGAGGTCATCGTCCTGTGGTGCACCTGAGAAAAGGCTCAGGTGCACCACAGGAACCATCACCTGCATCACATCTTCACGAGTCCTTCGAGGTCTTGAGCATCGCTTCTTGTTTGTCTTCCAGCGGCCGCCCTCCGTCCCAACTGGTGAGGCCTTTCGATGGTTCTTCTAGCCCTCCCTCTGCCACAAGCTCCAGGAGTTTGTCACTAAAGCAGACGGACTACAGAGCCTGAACTGTCTAAAACTCAGCAGGAGGAGCTTCTGGGACCCAAGAGGAGTGGAGGACGGTCATCAGCTGAGAGGGAGCCTGCCGGCTGGAGCAAGAGGAAGAGACGGTTGGATCACGAGGGGGGGGCAGTCACCGTTAGCCAAAGTGTCACGTTTGTTTCCAGAGGACAGCTACAGGTAAAATACGACCCAATCACAAAGGAGCACACGGAGGTCCTCTTCTCCTGAAGGTCTCCAATGGGTGGGATCAGGAAGTGTTGGAGAACCCGTCCTTCACGTGTTGCTTTCTGAACATCCTCCAACATTCACTTCACAGACAGAGTTCATTTCCCACCAGTCACTGAACGGTGCGGAGCGGAAACATCTGGTCGTCACACGTTCAGACGGCTCAAAGGTTTGAGAGCGTGACGTCATCAGCTTCTAAACCGAACATCTTCATGAATCCTCCTCGTTAACATGTTCTTCTGTACAAAGTGTTCAAGTCCAACTTTTAACCCTGAGTGAAGGTTCTGCGGCGACGTCTGAGCCGGAGGGCAAACTGGTTTCTAGATGCTGTTCACGGTACGTTTTAGTTCATCTGCACCAAACCATGAACCGTTAGCGAAGGTCAGAGCAGCGTCCCATCAGGTCTCACCTTCTCTTGTATGTTTCGGACGCGTTCTTCGAAGCAAGACCAGCAAGTCAGCTGTTGGCTACGAAGAACGAGAATGAATGCATAAAGAACGCTAAAGAACACCAGCTTGAAGTAAAAGATAATTCCTCTACCACCCATTTGACGTCGTCTGGTTTATTTAAGCTTCTCATCAGCCTTCACCACCTGTGGAAACTGCCTTCCTCCTCCTCTTCCTCTCAGCGAACCCGGAGCGATTCAGGACCCGACCAGGGACTTCCTCGATTTGACCAAAACCGGCTGTCGTGCTAACCTCAGCGAGGAACTACAGTCTGACCTCAGCAGGATGTGAGACTGTTATTATGGACTACAGGTTCCCCTCAGCAGGACTACAATAACCACATCACTGTTACCTGTCTCTTCTGTCTACCTCCTCCTCAAGAACTCTAACGGCACCTCCTTTGGTTCTGCCTGCTGGTACCACAGGAGCTGCTTCTGAACTCTCTTCGTGGTCCGGAGGGTCTTCAGCCGGTCTTGGTTTGAAGGATGGTTTCTCAGGGGCAGTCACACTTTAAGGTGGGTTCAAACGACCTCAAGCAGACTGGGAAACTCCACCTGGTTGCATTCTTGGTTTTCTTCAAAGGTAGCAGTGGTCCGCTTTGATTCTCCTGGACCCGTTAAACTCTTGAGACCCTGACCAGGGCCTCGTAGAGAATTCAGAACCAGTTTCTGGTATCAGGGTGACCAACTGAAGTATCCGGCTCCGGTCTGGACGGATGCAGCTCTGAAACTCAAAGGGAAACTTTGGCTGAGCAGAAGTCCAGGACTAAAGGAACCGAAAGAGATCAGAACATTCCACCCCACAGCTAATGTAATTTCCAACACGTTTCTGGGCCGGCGTGCTCGGTCATACCTTGTTGTACACTCTTTAAGACATTCAGATTAAAGTTTTACCCCAAAAGTCCACCAGAGATCATTTTGTGACTAAGTGTCCAGTGAGCTGGTTCTATACTGGTCTTATTTTCAAACATTAACATTAGTTGGACACGTGTTCCAGTCAAAGTAACTTGACGTTCATGCATTAACGTGTTGGTCTTTCCCAGCGGGGGTGATAAGCTGCTGGGTGCGTCAAAGCGTGACCGTGGAGCTGGTTCTGTTCTGGACTGTCGTGGTCGTCCTTCTCATTGTTTGTAGTCGAGGGGACACTGGTTCGTCTTTGGGAGTTTCGTCTGTGTTGAAGGAACGAACCCGTTGATCTAAACCAAGACAGACCCAGTTAGTCTTAAATCTTTGTCTCTTTCTGTCTTTTTGTTTAGTTTGGACTGTCGAGCCGACATCAAGGCATTTCATGAGCTTTCTTACAAAGTGACACCCTGTGGTTCGGTTGAAGGCCTGTCAGGCAGTGGTGTAGTCTACGTGCACGCGGGCATACGGAGTGTACCCACGAGAAAAGCTCAAGAATTTCAGTATACACATAGAAAAGTGCCCAGGGATACATGACACATCATTAGGCACGTGTCATTGAGACGGTAAATGGCAGTTAAATGTTTCTGTAACGATCTCAGTGTGCAGCGCTTGTTTACTCACTTATCCAGCAAATTATTGTATGATTAATACTTCTGTACTTCCTACCTAATACTTGAACATGTTTTGCTTTGATACAGTTTTATAAATTCTATAACATGTTTTAATACAAAGACAACTGTTATACAAAGTTTGTTGTTCATTTATTCAAATATAAGTATCAGAGAAATTTGAAAATGTTCAAAATGCTTAAAAATAAATTGACGATTACGTCGTACTAACCAGCGTACTTTGGTCTCTAAGCACAGTATACGGACCGACTGCGGTAAAGTCAGTTTTACGTTGGACGTGCACGCTCCGTGGCCTGGGCGGTGTCCAACGTCCAGCGTGTAACTAACTTTACCACGGTCTACCCACTACAGAAATGTAGACTACACCACTGCGATCAGGCTACTCTGACTTGGAAACATTAGCCCATTTCACAAAACACTTTCAGGCCAGGACTCTTTCAGGTGGTTTAAAAGGAGCAGAGCAACGTGGGGGTTGAAGGCAGGGAGTGATGGTCCACGTTCAACCAAACAGGCGTCATGAAAACTGTCAGAACAACCAGCCTCCATCTCCTGGACCAGAACAACCGGTCTCCATCTCCTGGGCCAGAACAACCAGTCTCCATCTCCTGGGCCA